AGGGGCTATTTTCCTGAGAGTTTTCAGTCAGAAAATAGGATCTGGAAACATATAATCTATAATAAATCTCATCTGTTATATTGTTTAGTTGCTTACATGATTTGTGAACTTTTGATCTTGAAGGTAAAGGTATATTACCTAAAATTCCAGTTACAGTATTTTCACAACGTTCCTAAGCTATACAGGAAAACAATCAACTTCTAAAGCCTTTATTTCCAAATATTATGGAGAACGAGAAAGAGCAATTGAATTACGACATGCCTCAGAGAAAGCAAAAAGAAAATTGCTTTTGTAAAGAAATATCTAGTATAATTTTGTCACTTGGCTGTTTGTACCTGCCATTTTGGCCCCATATATTAATCCTAGCAGATAACTATGTAATCATCATACTTTCCATAATATGAGAGGAAATGAAATGAAAGCAGTTGATGGAAAAGAAATGGAAAGGCAACATTATAAATAGTGAAATACAGAAGAGTAAGAACTAGTGAAATATGAACCAGCTTGATACATTAAAACCAATTTTACTAAAATTGGAAAAAATGCAATTAAAGTGTTCATAATACCTTAATGTCAGAAAGGCATTGAAGAAAATCTTTGAAAATAACTAGCTAATTTCAAAGCTTTGAGTCTTGGCTGTTTATTTCTTTCAGATATTGGAGAATTCATTAGTTTATAATTGTAGATTTAGGGGAGGTAATAGAGTAATATGTGCCTTTTTCCTAATAACAGTTGCATATTTCATTGTTTTTGGGATTCTTTATAAGGGAAAAGGATGGACTGGTTACTGTTTATAATGTCAAACATTGCTTGAATGCGGGGCAATAAGCAGTATTTTTGGAGTAGCAGGCTGAAATTTGTGCCTTTGACTTTTTAGCTCAGCAATTAAAATCACATCTGACATCACAAGATAAAGAGCAACCTCAGGTTTAATGAGAATTTAGTATTTCATCTAGAAATAATACTGACTTTGTAAAAGCTGAGTTTTGAAGTCAAGCAACAACATTTAAAACAGTTCATCTCTTGATAAAAATAATTGAATATAGATCTGTCTTCCTTTGACAGCTGCATCATAGCATCTTGTCCTGTAATACTTGATACACATGATTAAATGCCTGTGAAGGAAGATACATATCTCAGCCTTTGTATTTTTTAATGGACTGTTCCCCCTGCCAGAGTAATTTATTATGTACAAATATGTAAGCCTTTATTCCATGTAAATCTATGAATTTATTCTATAAACCTTTATATAAAAGGTATTTATTACTAGGTATGCTTAAAGTTCAGCAGCGTCTTTCATTGGTAATGAAATACGGTAGAATCTACCTTTGTGGGTGTAACGTGGTTAACATCTCTGTCACTTCTAGATACAGAACAGTGTTTTGAACTTGGGACAGCTGAGCATTCATAGCTCCCACCTTTTCATAATTTCTTATTTGTACAGAAAGTGCACAGCTTGTCCTTTAATTGCCTTGTTTTGGGTTCTGCACACCCATATATGTTTCTTGATATGCAATGGCTCACCTTTATATGAATTTCTGTGGATATGGCTGCATCTCTGAAGTGATTGCTGAAGAGCTAAATGTGAATATTAAATACCACTTCTTGGAAATAGCAAGTAGAGCTTCCCTTTTTCTGTGGAAGATGAATATTGAAACGTAAAATTGAAGTTGTTCTGGGGATGCACTGCACAGTATCCTCCTTGCAGCAGGGCACAGTAATGTATCAAAGTCACACTGAGCTAAATTCACCAGATGTGAGACTTGAAGGAAAATCCTAGGCAGGTCATATGGAACCATACGTAGGATTGAATGCACCTGGATGAAGCCTTCAGAGCATTGCCAGTGCACAGCAGGACAGGGTCCGCTATCTTCTTCTGCTGCCTTCTATGACTTCTCTTTCCATTAAGCTGTTAAGCCACAGCAGAAGTGGCACCTCTCAGCATTATTTAAAAGCACTTTTGTGGGCTCCAGTGAGTTTGCATTGGACTGATCTTGATGGAGATCTGAACTGATGGCTTATACTGGGCATTAACTGTGGAGTTTGGTGGCAGAGGCTGCTGGGGTGGCCTGTGTGGGAGGTCATGAGCTGCCCTGTGCTGCTGCATTTGGTTCCTGCTCACTCTGAAACTGGTGAAAACAACTCATGGTGGGACAGAACTTGAGAGGAGCATTTGGAGCCTCTGTTCACTCACATTGAAGAAAGGGGGCAGCCACTGGGGCCAGAGGACACAAGGATGCATTTGAGGACACAGGAGGCGATGGGAGGGAGATAGGGGAAGAGATGTGCATTTGGAGAGAAGGCGCAGAGGAACAGAGAAGCAGTAAGAAGCGAAGAGCAGGGAATGAAAAGAGTAGGAAGCAAGGAGAGGCAACAAGACACCTCTAGGTCCTGGCCCCAGCCTCCTGCGATGGCCATTGTCTCGCCGAAGGGATGTGGAAGGGACCAAGCATAACACCTGGTGAAAATGGGAAGCTGGGGTAGGAGTAGGCGAGGAGACGTGCTGGACTGAAGTGGGGCCTGGGGAGGGAAGGTGCTCCCTTAAGTGCTTGTTTAACTCTTGGTCTTTTTTCCTCAGTACCTGAATCAGTTATTGAAAGTTTATGTTAATTGGCAATAAACTAAGTGAATTTCCTCAGTCAAGACTGCCTTGCCTGCACGCCTTTAATTCCAGAAGGCATTGCAGCACTGCCATTCCCTGAGTAAAAAGAGCTGATGGGAAGTGTAACAGTGAGGAGAAGCGTGGTACTTGGTAACTTCTGCGTGGTCAGTGGTCTCATCCATGAGAGTTGATCGTCTGTTCTGTTTCACATAATGGAGGGAAATGTGCTGCTTTAGGGGTGCACTTTTTCCATTTATATAGTTTTTTTTTAGTCAAGCAGGAACTCAGAAGTGCTGTTGAACTTGCTTTACTTAATCCTTCTTGTGAAAATTGAGTTTTCATACTTAATCACTAAAACATGACAGAAAAATATCTGAAGCATGTACCACCTGTTTTTCCTTTCATCTTGATTCATTCATTAGCTTCCTTGTATTAAAAGCCCTCCAAGACACAATTAACCCTTTTTTAATATTGTGAAGCTTGAAATGATCATTAAAACTCATTAAAGCAGAGAAACTTACTTTCAAAAGCAGTTTAACATTAAAATTCCTGATTTATTTTCTTGTGGATAGGGTTGAATACTTAGGGTATGGCCATCATGATTCCAGTCTTAACTGACTATTGAAGTAATTAATGATAATTGGTTGCTTTGCATTGCAGAACTGTGCTCTGTGCTAGAACACACTTTGATAAAATAATTTTCTGTAATGGAATGTTGTCTTCTGAGTATGGACTATATAATAATGATATTGTCAGCGAGTCCTTTTTGTCCAGTAAGAAGAAAATATAATTGAATATAAAAATACGTTACCAAAAGTCTTGCTTTTTTTTCCCCCCTGTACATTCTACTGTATTGTGAATTGTGCTGTTGCCACAAGAAAGCAAACATCTACGTATGTTTTCTGATTTACCGACTTGTTTTTGTTTTTTAACATCCTTTAAAATGCACAAACATGCAGTCAGTTTTATTTTGATACTAACTTCAGTGCTCTTGTGTCAACATACATGAAGGTTGAATTTGATCTCACTTTAAAACAAGTCAAATTTTTGTATTCTGTTAACTACCTAGTCTGTTCCCAGCGTTATATAAACAATCTTAGAATTGAGAAATTGATTAAATAGACCAAATTCAGAATAACTAAGTTCATAGCCAGTGTTGTTTTCATCCTGCAAGTTTTTGCAGGATGAGGATGACTAATTGCGAAGAGAAGGACCATGAAGTAAAATGGTAACTTTAAAGCAATAAACTGCCTTGGGTTTGCTGAAATGGCAATAAAACTACCATGAAGTGCTGTCAAAGTGTTGATTCATTTTTACTACTAATATTAGAAGTAATAAAATGTAGGATTTACTGGTATGGTTATAGCATTTGGTATCCATTTTATTAAACAACTCAACAGGTATTACATTGTATCATACAATCATAAGATAATTTATAATCTAGTTTATACTGAAGCAGAATGTTCATAGGGAAAATAGTTTGATATTTAGCCTTCTCTCACAGAAGTGAGCATACTGGATCTTTATATGGGTCATTTGTTGCTAAACTTCTAATTTTATCTTAAAACTATGACAAAAAGAGCACCATTAAAAGGATGTGATTTTGATTATTGTGAACTACATTAGGTAACAGATTATAATTCAGACTGGTTCTATTTTCTATAATTATTATTTGGAAATAACTGTCTTTAAAAATTATTTTAAAAATATGAGCAGGACTATTTATGTTCTGAAAATATTAGCTGTTACATACTTTAAAAAAAAAATGGATAACTAGTAGAATAGGATTTTCAGAAGTGCTTAGCATCAAGCTAATTCTGTCCAGAAGAAACTGAAAAATGAGAGGACTTAGGCCAGTCCTTAGAAATTTCCATGTAGCTGCACGATGATATTCTTATCTGTCTCCTCAGTGAAGTTAAGGTAAAATTCTACTTGAAATTACAAACTGAGTGAGAAATATGATAATAGCTTATCTATAGGCAGGTGTGAAAACTGTAAGCTGCTAGGATTCCTCTTAATGGAAAGCAAGATACGATAGAGACAAAAATTTTGAGGAAAAATTATTTAAAGGGAAAATTTATTTGGATACATCCCTGCACAGAGGTAGGACAGCGTTATGAATGGGAAAATATAACTTGAAGTGCCATTGAGAGCAATGTAGACATTTCAAAAAATAATAGAAGTCATAAAAATGTATTACTGATTTTTGCCTTGTTAATTAAATGCCCTAATTCTAATCAACTGTGCAATTATTTCAAACAGCCTTTTACAGCTTAGCAGATACAACTTTGGCATGCAAAGCTTTCTCAGCCAAAAATTATTTTCTATAGCTACTTATCAGTACATTGAAAAAAATATTGTGATTCTTTATAAAGTTGTCCTTACCCTTCTTTTTAAGGTATGGGATGCTGTGGATACAGGCTGCTGTTTAAAAACATATTCCTGTCACTCCTGTGCTGTTCGAGCTGCCCAGTGGTCATCTTGTGGAAGAAGGATCCTCAGTGGGGGCTTCGATTCCATGCTGCATTTAACAGATGTAGAAACAGGTAAAGGTCATATAAGGGGTGCATTATAGCCCTATCTTTATTGAGCACAGATAACTTTGGATCTTGTTAGCCTTATTCTTTCTTCTACAAATAAAGATAAAATCTATAGATCAAAGTTAGAATTCTTGAAATGTGTCCTCACTAAAAAAAAATAATCTCAGCAATTAAGGGTAGTTGGACATATTTAAGAAAAGTGAAATACCTTTAACTTCATGATCACATGTAATTTCTGTTGTCAGATACTACACAGATGAACAGAATGAAACATGTAGTTTTTATGCTCTGTCACGATCATTCATTAAAGCATTTAAAGAGCCTCTTAAGTCTGACTTCAGTAACTTATACATAAGCTTGTACCTCATTCTCAGCTGGGTTGGGTTTAAGTTTGTGCTTAAAGTTAATTAGGTGATTTTTTTTTAGGATTTTTTTGGCAGTTTTGGTTTTTTTTTTCTGAGTAGGACCTTAATTAGGAGTACAGAAACTTAAATTCTGGTATGAAACCTTGAGACTGAACCTGTGTTGCTTTGACGCAGTTGCGAATTTGATTTGGAAATCTATTGTTCTGACCTTAACAACTAATTTCCTGGATGCTGTCTCTCCTTATGTCTTCCTCACAAACTAAAGTCCTTCTGTCAGCTATATGTCTTCTCTCCTTTATGTATGTTATCAGCATTCATACAGCAGCATTCATTGGGACTGTACATAATAGGGCACCTTTGTGTGTGTATAAATGAAGGATTAGGCCTAAAATAGTACCTTATGAACTGAAGACATGCAATTTTATTTTTTCCCACTTAATTTATTTTTAAATGTTTAACTTCTGCAAAGGTGCAATATTTTTTTGTAAGACTACAAAAGAAATCCTTACAAAAATACAAGAAGTAATCCTAGACAAGAAATCTAGGAGGGTTTTTTCTTACCTAAAAGTAAAAAGCACATTTTATGTGAATATCTGGAGAGCAGAAGTCCTATTCAGATGAACTGGGAAAGTGGCCAAGGAAATTGTGAATATTGTTCACATGAAAAGAAGATTCTTTTCCATGCTCTAAGAATTTATTTTTCTCAACATTTGTCATACCAGAAGTATTTAAATTCAGTGATGGCTGGAAGGGAGTTCTTGTAATTTGGGAATGTAAAACATGTGACACAGTTATGGAATATTTATGTTTCGAGAATATTCAGGTTTTGTAATGGAGAAAAGAGCTTTATGTATCTGATGTAGTAGTAGTACATGAGGTTAATATACCAAGTCATTAATTTTGTCAGACTTGTCTTTTTTGTATGTTCAGTCTCATTGCAGCAACCTTCTCATTTCTAGTCTCATATATAACTGAATCTTACTAATCCAAGGAGACTTTGTCTGTAATGCTTACAAATTCTAAACAGAATGGCTACTGCCATTAATGAGATTTATAGCAGTAGAATAGATTTTATGTGGCTGAGTCATTCAAAGGGACTACTGTGAGGAAAATCTCATTTTATAAAATCATAGAACAAATTCTAAAGATAGGTAATTTTAATCATATGCTTTAATTTCTAACATCTCTTTAACTATCGAGTAATGGGATAGTAGCCTGGATGAAGTTGATTGTAGTGGTTCATTTGAAAGAAGATATTGCTAGAGTTTTAGGCAATGACAACAGCAACTAATTATATTTACCAAGTTTCAAAACAGATAAGCTTATAAATGGTTCTTTCCTTACTGAGTTGTTAGTTATGTTGTATTTCTAAATACTTAAATAAACTGTATGGGTGAAGGCAAAATGAATGATTATGATCCTTGAAAATACTAGATATTCATTACTGCCTTATTTTAAGGACACAGGATTCCTTGTAGCTCCTCTGAACTGCAGTTGTAATGCTGATGTTTGGACCTGACTTTCAGTGATTCATATCATACTTTTCCAAATGGAGGTATGCGTGATTGGAATCTTATTCTGATTTCCTATGCATACGGGCCAGTTTCTGATTTCCTTCCCTGTTGTAAAGTTACTCTTTTTTTTTTTCCATACATTTTAGTCAATTCTTTTCAGAGAAACAGGGCAAGCAGTTTGCCTCTGAAATCCAGATCAATTTGATATAAAAAACCTCATTTCCATTTGAAAAAACACTAAGCTATAAGATTTTGATTTACATTAGTTCACTGAATCATTCATTCCTCCTCACTCTTCATCAGTGCTGAGATGATTTCTTCTTTGATTAACTTCAGAAAGATGTTAGAACTGTTCCTTCACAGAGGACTTTTAGATACTTTTTTGGACTTTGGTCTTAATTAATTTCCATTGCCAGACTGAACTAACTACCAGTGTGTTTAAATGCAGTACATGCATGCTGGTGGGTTTATAATAATAATTCTGTCTTTAAGGCTCTGTGCTCTTGTCTTTTGTGTATGTTTTGGTTCAATATTTTTCTAGTCATGTTTGCAAAAATCTAATCTTTCTTGTCTTTGTTTTCAGTATAGATTTTATATATTACATCTGTGTTATAAAAATTGCTACATGTCCTTCACCAAAAGAAACTTAACAGTCTGAAGAGAATTACTATTAAAAGTTTAGGGAAGGTTGCAAATACAGCTTAGTACATGCATGGTATTGAGCTGATGCTCAGCGGGGTTTTTTTGTCATTTTGTGTTGATTTTCTGTTAGGAACATAGTTTCTGCCCTATTAAATCAAAATTGTAGTCTAGCTAATTGTTTCTTCTGGGTCTGATGATAGCTAGTTACGATATTCTTCAAAGGAATGTGCCAGCATTGTTGTAACAAACAGTACTAGAATAAATTCTCTACGAAATTTTGTTTCTAAGCTTGGAATTAAGTTTGGGTACCCATTGTCCTAGGATATTGCATTTTCTGGAGTGATTACTTTTTTTTAATCTTTGTTACCTGAACAACATCAGAATAGGAGCAAACACTGAAATCTCGTTAATCACAAAGCAGAATTTTTGTTGTTGGCATAAAAATCCTGATGCAAGGGTAGAATACACATCCATGAAATCTCATCCTGCAGTTTTACACCATTAAGCCTCTTCCCCTTATCAAGTGTATTTAATGAAAGTTCTTATATATAAGATCTAAGATGCTACAAGCAGGAAAAATAGGCTAATAGGAACCTTGTGAAGTTCAACGAGGACAAATGCAAAGTCCTGCATCCAGAATGGAGTAATCCTGTGCAACAGAACAGGCTGGTGCTAAACTGACTAGAAAGCAGAAAAATACCTGGTGGTCCTGGTGCTGAATATGAATCAGCAGTGTTATCTGGCAGCAAAGGTCAACTTCATCCGGGCCAGATTAGCAAGCGTTTACCTAGTACATAGGGAAGATGATGCCAGGTGAGATGATGCTCAGAGATGCCCAGTGAAAGGGTGAGAGGCAAAGGACAAATGTAGGGACATAGGCAACTTTTTGGCTCAACTTAAGTGTGATCAAACACTAAAACAGGCCATCCAGAGAGGCTGTGGAGTCTCTATACTTGGAGATACTCAGAACTTCAGTGGACAGACCGCTAAGTAATCTGCTGCAGCTGGACCTACTTTGAGTAGGGGTTTGGACTAGATGACCCTGGAGGTCCAACCTATATGATTTGTTGATGCTATGATGAAGAACAGGGAAA